AGCTGGTGGGCTCGAACTACCGACCTTGCAGTTCAAAAGGCTCTGCAGTCTGGTGCCTTAACCCGCAGAGCCACAGCAGGACTGCCTTGTGGGTAGTGGTAAAACCCACCTCAAGGTGTCTCAGCTTGTGCTGGCTCTTGCGTTGATGGGCGGGCCTGAGCCTTGGAAGTTGGGCAGAGGTCTAGCCTAGGCAGAGGGGGTGGAGGGTGGGGTTAGTGGCTGCAGGCAGATGGCGTCCCTGTCTGACGACATCAAAAAATGCCTCTCTCTGTCTCCCTGTGCCGTGGGCACCTGGCCCGCCCTACATCCATGCCGACAACACCTCCCTTGGCAATGAGGCCCCCCCACGAAGGACCGTGCCAGTTCCTGTGGCCCCGCTGGCTCTCTGGGCGCGCCCGCCCTCCAAATGGGTCTGCTCAAGCTCCGCCCTCCAAGCTCTGCAGTGGGCGGGCGCAGTCCCGGTGCAGGAGCCGAGTTCAGGCGAGTGCAGGCGGGCGGAAGCTAAAAATGCCCACAACTCCCTAGCAGCTTGATCCTTCAAAAAAGCAAGTCCACAATGTTGAAGGCTAAAGTCTCATGTTTGCCCTAAGGCTGTCTGTCTACCAGGCAGCGGCCTCCCCTTTGCGATACCACCCACATCTTCCCCAGAGCCTGCGCACCTGTGCTGCCTCATCAGGGAAGCGCCGGAAGTCTCTATGAAGACAATTCTTTTATAACCTAATCTTAGAAATGATTGCCCATCACTTCACTTTGATATTTTTTTAACTAGAAGCTTGTCAGTAAATCCAGCTCACCTTCAAGGCAATGGCATTATGTCAGTAGTATAAGGTAGGCATCACTGGGGTTGATTTTAGAGGCTGCCTACTACAGAATAAATGATGGAATTGATAATTAAGAGTTGAAATGAATTTGTTAAGTGCCATCTAGTAGGTGCCAACTCATAGCTACCTGTATAGGGATTCCAAGTGACTGGTGGGTTTGAGACACTGACCTTGCTTTTAGTAGTTCAGTGCTTATCCTACAGTGTCACACTTTTTAGTTTAAAATAATTCTAAGAAGTAGTACAAATGTGGTTTAACATTCTGCTCGATTTGCTAAGAAATCTAGTGTTGACATTAAATTGTATTTTTAAATTTAAGTGTTATATTTATTTATCCATTTAAAAAAGTCTATCATTAAAATGTTTATGTTCTGTTATACTTGTATGCACATATGAATCTTGGACTAATTAATACTTTTTAAAAATGAGTTTTATATGCTGATTTTTTATTATAATATTAAAAATTTTTTTGTAACTGAACATGATTATTAGCTAACTTTTTTTCTTTTTCTTATATTTAGTATTCAAAAGGTTTATCCTTGGAGTCATTTGCTGTTATTATTGTGCAATTACTTGGCCTTAATGTGGGATTAACTTATGACAGTAATATTGGCAGTTGCCATTGTTCAGCTGATGTTTGCACAATGACGCCAAAAGCAGTGTAAGACATTTTTAAATTTAATGTCCTTATTCCTTCTTGTAAGTTTTTAATTATGGGGGGGGGAGTTGGAATCTTTAAATTTCTAGTAACCAAACTGAATTAATTTTCAAACTCTGTATCTAACTATGTCAAAATACATATTTTTTTTCCAGTACAAATAGAATACTTATCAAAATAGGCCATATTCTGGACTACACATCAAACCTCAATAAATTTAAGAGTAGTGAAATCAAATAGAGTATGTGCTCTGACCATACCAAAACCCAAGCCTACTGCCAACAACTTAGTTCCAACTTATCATGACCTTATATAGGTTTTCTGAGACTGTAAAAATTTATGGAATTAGAACACGTCATCTTTTTCCTGTAATAGGCTTGAGCCACCAGCCTTGAAGTAAGCTTACAAGTCAAAAGTAAAAGCTAAGTAACTATACCAAACTGTCTGAAAATTAAGTAACAGAATGTTGTTGTTAAGTACTATGGAGTAGAATGAAATTATTGCTTAGCTCAGAAAAGCAATTACAAAGAAATCAGAATATATTTTAGTGAAGCAATAATGAGAATGCAATCTATCAAAACTTGTAGGAAGTGGCTAAAACAATGTTCAGAGTAATGCTTATAGTTTTAAATAAATATATTAGTAAAGAAGATGAAATTAATGATATGAATTTCTATATAATGGAACTACATACTTATAGTTCTCTAATTTCAGTGTGCTTCTTTTTTATAATTTCTATTTATTTTCCTAAGGTTTTATTTTTTTATTTCCTATATAATGCTCTAATAGTGTGTTGAAGAATTTGTATGTAGACTGATTTAATATCCTTGTCAAATATATTCTAACATCTGATAATTTTTTTTAAAGTTTATAATGTGAATTGAATGACACTTTACATGGTATAACATCAGCTTTACATTCATCCTATCGTATTTTGTTTCATTGCAAAGATTATAATCCCCTCCATGCATCATCAAAACAACCAAAGGGTACACCCCGCAAGCCTGCCTCCTGGCCGTTAGCACACAACCCCTTTCCCTCCCTGAGTCCAGAGTTCCCAGCCCCTCCATCTCTCCACATTATTGTCTCTGCCTCCATCTCTGGTGTCACTGCTTCTCTGGATAGGGTCCCACACTCCGTTCTTCTCCTTTGATGGTCCAGGGTCATCTGCTCCTGGACTGCAAGAACAACCACTCTCCTCCTTTTGTTGCAAAACATCTACCTTTACATTTGCAACATTCTTTTTGTTTCTTGTAGCAGTGCTTTGTAGTTTTCTTTGTATAGGCCCTTTGTTCCTCTGGTTACATTTTGGGTGGCTATTGTAAAATGTATTGCTTTCATAATGTCCTTTTCAGCACTGTCAGTATAGAGGAATCCAACTGATTTTTGTATGTTAATCTTATACCCTGCCATTTCGGAATCTTCCAATGAGTTCTAGTAGCTTTTTATTGAGTCTTTGGGGTTTTCTATGTATAGGATCACATAGTTTGAAAATAGAGAGAGTTTTACTTCCTCTTTGCCAAGTTGAATGCCTTTAATTTGCATATCTTGCCGTATAGCTCTGGCTAAGACTTCCGGCACAATATTCAATGGAAGTGGTGTCAAAGGGCATTCCTGTCTGGTTCCTGTTCACAGAAGGAAGGCTTTCCGTTTCTCTCCATTGAGAGTAATATATGCTGTTGGTTTTGTATATATGCTCTTAATTATGTTGAGGAATTTCCATTCAATTCCTACTTTGTTTAGTGTTTTTATCAGATATGGATGTTGAATTTTGTCAAATGCCTTTTCTGCATCAATTGATATGATTATGTAGTTCTTTTCCTTTTTTATATGGTGGATTACATTGATCATTTTTCTAATGTTGAACAATCCTTGCTTCCTGGATATGAATCCTACTTGGTCATGATGTATTATTTTTTTGATTCTAAGATTTTGGCAAAGATTTTGTGGCGAATTTTTGCATCTATGTTCATGAGGGATATTAGTCTATAGTTTTCTTTTTTAGTGATGTCCTTCCCTGCTTTTGGTATGAGTGTTATGCTTGTTTCATAAAATATATTAGGAAGTTTGCCATCATCCTCTATCTTCTGGAATAATTTGAATAGAATTGGTGACAGCTCTTCCCTGAATATTTGGTAGAACTCCCCAGTGAAGCCATCTGGACCTGGACTTCTTTTGTTTGGGAGTTTTTTGAGGACCTTATCATTTTCTTCTTTTGTTATTGGTCTGTTCAAGTTTTCTACTTTACTATGTGTAAGTTTATGTAAGTTGTGTTTTTAAAAGATGTATTCATCTCTTCTAAGATTTCAAATATGTTGGAGTACAGGTCTTCATAGTATGCTGTTGTCATCCTTTTTATTTCCTTTGGTTCCATTTTGACATTGCCCATGTGGTTTCTAATGTGTGTTATTTGTGTCTTCTCTCTCTTTTCGTCTGTTAGTTTTGCCAGTGGTTTGTCAGTTTATTAATCATTTCAAAGGGCTAGCTTCTTGTCCTGTTATTCTTTCTGTAATTTTTCTGTTTTCTATCTGTATTTATTTCTACTCAAATGTTTATTATTTCTTTTCTTTTGATGACTGTAGGTTCATTCTGTTGGTCTGTTTCTAATGATGGAGCTGCTGTGTTAATGTGTTAATTTTGGTTCTTTCTTCTTTTTGGATATGTGCATTTATTGCAATAAATTGTCCTCTCAGCACTGCTTTCACTGTGTCCCAAAGATTTTGGTATGTTGTGTTTTCATTTTCGTTTGTTTCTTGGAACTTTGTGTGTTCACATTTATTTTTTTCTTCTAGCCAGTAGTGTTTCAGCAGGGTGTTATTTAGTTTCCATGTATTCAACTTTATTTACTGCATCTTCTTATTGTTGATTTCTAGTTTTATAGCATTTTTGTCTGAAAAGATGCTTTGTAGTATTTTGATGTTTGTGAATTTATTGAGGCTTGCTTTGTGACCTACCACATGGTCAATTCTGGAGAATGTTCCATGTGCACTGGAAAAGAATGTGTATTGTGCTGTTGTTGGATTAAATGCTCTGTACACATTTATGAGGTCAAGTTTGTTGATTGTGCTGTTTAGTTCCGCTGTATCTTTGTCGAATTCGAGGGTTTTTTTCTGGTTATTCTATCAGTTTTGGAAACTTGTATATTAAAATTTCTCACTATAATTGTAGATTTGTCTATTTCTTTTTTCAATTCTAGTAGGGTTTGCTATATATATCTTGGTGCTCTTTCATTGGGAGCGTAGATATTTATTATGCTTATGGCATCTCTTTCAATTGACCCTTTAATCATGATATACTGTCCTTCTTTATCTCTTATGCTGGTTTTTGCCTCAAAGTTTATTGTATCAGAGATTAGTATTACCACTCCTCCTTGTTTTTTTTATTGCAATTAACTTAGTGTTTATTTTTTCCCATCCTTTAACTTTTAGTCTGTTTTTGTCTTTGTGTGTAAGGTGTATCTCTTGCAGGCAGCATATTGAAGGATCTTGTTTTCTTATCCATTCTGCCAGTCTGTTTCTTTACTGGTACAACTAATCATTTGACATTTAGTGAAATTATCGATAGGTATGAATTAATTGCTAGCATTATGTTAGTTTTTTGTGGTGCTGTTCTTTCTTTTGTTCTGCATGGCTTCTTGTGCTGAGTCATGTTTCTTTTTTCTATTTCTTGTCAGTTTCTTCTTAGTTTTAATGTTTCCTTGTTCTACTTGGATATTTATTTTCATGGTAAGTTGTGAAGTATTAACTTTCTTTGAGGTTACTCTATAGTCTATTATCTTTTCCCTCTATTTAAGACAGTCTATTTTATCCTGCAATCTACCTGACCTCCTCACCACCTGGATCACTCTTCTTATATTTTCCCCCTCTTTGACATTGTTATTATTTTGATCTTTGATTGGCCTCACAGGTCCTCTGAATTTGTTCTGTTCTGAAATCTGCTATTCCTCGACTGAGTTCTGGGTGGTGTTGCCACATCTGTCAATCTCTGGTTGTTGTTGGTTCTTGTTGGTTTTCATTCCAAAGAACTCCCTTTAGGACATTTTGAAGTGCTGGATTGGCTTTGACAAAATCTCCTAGCTTCTGTTTATCCTGGAATATTTTGATTGCACCATCATATTTGAGTCACACTTTTGCTGAGTAGATGATTTTTGGTTGGCAGTTTTTTTCTTTTAGTATTTTATATATGTCTCCCCATTGCCTTCTTGATTGCATGGTTTCTGCTGAGAAGTCAGAGCTTACTCTGGTTTGCTTGCCTTTGTAAGTAACACTTCTGTTTTCCCTGGCTGCTTTTGGGATGCTCTCCTTGTCTTTCATTTTGGAGAGATTGATTATGATATGTCTTGGTGATTTTCTTTTGGAATCTTTCCTTCTTTGGGTTAGTTCAGCTTCTTGAAATCTTATCTTCTCATCCTTCAAGATGTTAGAGAAGTTTTCTTCCAGAAGTTCTTCAACTATCTCCTCTGTGGACTTGTGTGATTCTTCCTCTTCTGGAATTCCAATAATTCTCAAGTTATTCCTCTTCATGTTATCCAGCATGCATCTTAGATGCTCTTCTGAATATTGTATCCTTTTTTCTTCTTGCTCTTTTATCTTAGCAGTATGGAAAGATTTGTCTTCCATCTCACTGGTTCTGGCTTCCATCTCTTCAGTTCTTCTCCTTTGACTTTTCAGTGTATTGTCCGAATATTTTACTATAATAATAAAATATCAGAATATTTTATTATTAATCACCTGGACCTCTTTTTGCAGTTTTTGAATTGTTTCCAATGGTATTCCTATCTTGTTTGATTGTTCCTGTAGCACTTTCCTGACTTCTTCCTTATTTTCCTCCACCCCTCTGTGGAGCATTTGGATTTGCCTCCATATCATTCTTCTAAATTCCTTCTCAGGCAGATTCAAAGCCTGTTCTTCTTCTTGTGGAAAGTGTATATCTGTCTTTAGCTCATTTGTCTCAGTTACTCTTTTCTGTTTTTGGAGATGTACTGAGATTTTTTTTTGTTTTTTCTTGGACATTTTTAATAGTTAGATGTGTTTTCAATGATTCAATGAATGTACGTTTCTTTGTTGTTTAGCTTACTGAGTGTCTCATGGTGGATGTTATCTGGAGATAGGCTTCCCTTTTCATGTGTAATGTCTAGCAGCTGGTATTAGCTCCTCTTCAGATGATGGGATATTATGGGGTATTCTTGTAGCTTAGCTATATGGCCACGATTGCTGTATCTTCTTAGGTAACATGGGGAGGGAAATCTCCCACCCCCAGGAAAAAAGTGAGACCAAAAGGACCAAAACAGAAACAATATAAAATCAGAGAATAAAACCATGACCCAGAAACAAAAATAAAACCATAGCCAACTGTCCAGTAGCCTTTGTTGTGCAGGTCAGTGTGCATGCACTATAGAAACCTCCAGAGGTGGGTGGGGGTGTTTACTTAGGCTTCTCCTCTAGTCACCACCATGGGGATGCACAGATAGATACTGAGAAATGAATGGAAGAAAAATTGCCCACTATTTTTAATCTCTGTAGGTCAGTTAAATATCTGTATCCCCAGCATAATTCTGAAAATAGCTGCATCTTTGTATATAGTAGTTGATGTTGGCTTTTGCCTTTTATATTGGGGTTTCTCAAGGTGCACAAATGGTTTGGCTGTATAGCCAGACCTGCTGCCTCTTGTTAGGTAAGGCAGCAATGAAGGTTCCCGCCTAGGTCAATTTTAGGGCTTAGTCCCAGAGTCAAACATCATAGAAGCAACTAATGGTTTACCTTGTGAGACCACAGGGGCTCCCAGGAATTTCCTCCCTGTGCTGTGGGAAAACTGTGGGCACAATGCTGAACCCTTTAGGGCATGCGCTCCCACTTTCCTGAAGGTGTGTGGGCTGGGCAGAGGGAATATGGCTGGGAGAGGATGAAAGAAAATGAAAAATCTGTCACACCTCTTTTTCCAGATGCCGCTCCATGGTGTTTAGACCTGTAGCACTCCTGATTAATTTTTGTATTAATGTTATTTTATTTTCTCATATGAGGTATAGTTTTCTGGGTTGTGAGTATAACACGAGATTTTTATTGTATCTTGAACATTTCGCTTATTATGTTAGAAGACTCTAAGTCCTATTTAAAACTTTTATGTTATCAAACAGTCACCCTGTTTAAGTTTAACACTTAGGTCCTGGTCTATTTTTATGGGTTGTAATCCCAATAAGAGTTTAATTATCAAGCTTTTGCAGTACTAGTTTGCTCTGCTTAGTTTATCAGTTGTCATTAGGGCTCCTACAGGTCACTCTTCATGCTGTGTAAATGCATGGAAGACGTATCTTTACTCATGGTTGCTCAATTTCTTAGTGAGGGAGAGGTGTTTATGGGCTATAGGGACAAAGCGTTTTCAAGACCAGTCAATTCATTATTGCAAAAACTTTCCTATCTGTGAAAGATAAAGAGTACTTTCTTGGCTGTGCATTTATTGTGTCAGGAGCCCCTTTGCCAGTCTGTGTCATCCTCTTAGTGGTTTTTAGTAGCAGAAGTGAATCTGTGGGTCAGCAGGTAAGGAGAGCACTTCCTTTGGTCACTTATAACTAGCAGAAATCCTAATTGATTACCCCTGCTCATGGTTCCAGGCTCACTTGGTATTGTTGGCAGGACTCCTGGGAGTAGGAGTGAGCCCACTGGGGCTGCCTTCTGCTTTAAGATATCCCTCTTTATGCTGAATGTTAGGGTTTCTTTGGATTTTTTTCCCTCTTACTGTTCTTCTAGCATACTAGATTGCGAGATTTATCTTCAAGTTCAGTAACTCAGGCTTCAATTGATTCAAATATACTTCTTTGACCTTTTAATGTATTGTCCATTTCTGAAATCTTAGTATTAATCCTTTGGATTTCTATTTGAAGGCTTCATATTGTCTCAAAACCTTTATATATTTTGTTTGTTCCTATAGTGTTATCCTGAATCTTCTTTGTTTCCCTCAATCTTCCTTATAATCATGCGAAGCTAACTAAATATCATTCTTTTGAATTATTTTTTAAGGTAATTTCAATACCTTTTTTCCTCAAAATTTTTTTCTAACTTTGCTTCTTGGTCACTTATTTGTCTTGTTTTTAATGTGAACAGAAATTGTCTGTTATCTCTGAGACATTGTAGTGTCATTGTATTTGTATTTAATTGATAATTGTATGTTGATGTGCTCTTCGGCATGTGCTCCTTTCTCTGGTTCCCATTCATACAGCTCAGTTTAAGGTGGGTTTGGTTAATGCTTGTTGCCGTTTATCCAGGTGTATAGTAGCTTGCATTGACTTTTTGTTCAGTGGATGGAACCGCAGAGGGTAGGGTTGTGGCAAGGAGATAAAATACACATTCAAGATATAATAAATAAACAAACAAACAACAGCAAAAAAGAAAAGAAAATAGTAAAGGAGAAAAAAGAAGCAAAAAGACACAAAATCAGAAACAGGAAACAACTTGAAACAGAATACAACGACCAAAAAGAGAAAAGAGGGAGATGGGAAAAAAAGAAAAAAACATGGAAGAGAAAAATAATAGACAAAACAAAAACAAAGGAAAGGCATTAAACTTAATAATTAGTGAGAGGGATGAGTAAAAAAGAAAGAAAGCAGACAACAGTAAAGATAGAAACAAAGATGAAGAAGTGGGGGAGGAGGGAAACAGAAACAAGAAAAAATGAAACTGAGATAGAAAAGATAAAAAGCAAGGGAAGGGAACAAACAAGATGGTGGATCAGGTGGAGGTGCAGTAACGGACCTCTGCCAGCAACGACACAGAATACCTGACCAAGCAGGCTTAGGGGATTGTCCAGAACTCTGAACCACATATAAAGGAATATTTAGAAGGTTGGAAGGCTTACAGCTGGGGGAATTTGTGGCAGAAGCAAGAAATCCATTGCT